TGTTTGTATTTGATTTCAAAGCAAAGGCCGTAAATTTCCCAGAGTATTTGGTTATAGTTTAAATTTAAAAAACTGAGTGGCGTTACATGGATAAATGAGTCACATTTAAAGGAAACAACGGCTAACTTCTTTTTTTGCAGGGTTAAATGACGACACAAGACTTGGCGTTTTAGGTCGTTAAGGGTATTTAAAGGGGTAGTGTCGCATAACTTGGTAGTTAACTCGCGTAATATTCTACGTCATAGTACAATAATGTATTATTAATTATTGAATATTATTAGTATCAGTAGGAGGCGTGGCGCCCGTAATGTATAAGTCTAGGCTGATATGTCTTATATAAATTACGTATGAAAGTGGCGCAGCTTGCATGTGTGGTGATAAATAAGGTAATTATGCATTATGCAGAAGTGACAAGGTTACATAGCCCCTTGACATGTGAGTCATAATGTACTGCGCCTTTTTTTAAGGCTATTCTAGGCTGACAGGTGTAAATACTTGATTCGGTTAAATGTATATAGCCACAAATAACATCCCAATAATAAAGCACTATCTAATATTGGATTAGGTAGCCTTGGTGGCGTGTGGCTTAGCCACATTTTAGCCTGACAAGGTAGCTTGTTACCTTGTCACAGTTTAGGCAGCAGTGATCTCGTGTGGCGAAGGATGAAGTTGTATCCAATAATAACCTAAGTATTACACACACCGACAAACTGATGTGTTTTTATGTATCAGGTTTCTCATGATCATCCTTGAATATGGATGTGATCTAGATTTAACAGGGGTAAATACCGGGTTGACATGTTTAAACCTTGTATAAGATGGGATCTACTTGATTTTAAATAGATTAGTCCTCATACCACCTTTCATAAGCCGCCATATCTAGCCTATGATGTAAACACGTTGTGTAACAAACAATGTTCTGGTTATCCCTGTGCTTGTGGCGAGGTATGCTTTATATAATCTACCTGCCGTGTATTATCAGGATTTTACCCTAAGCCTATTTCCCACCTTAGTTTTATTTTATTACCTACTGTGAAATTAGGAGCTCAATGACCATAGGTCGTTAACCTCCTATGGTCACTAATAATAATTAGTAATTGGTTTGGGCCCCAAACCCAAATATAATATATTATAATATATTATAATATATGATATATAAATAATATAGTTAACTTTAACTACTAGAATATTATACTAGTAAATATAAACACCTAATATAAAATATTAATAACCCTTTTTAACTTCTAGATAAAATAATAAACTTTACATTAACTAAAAAGTGAGAATTTTTAAAAGTCATCCTTTATTAAAATTGGTTAATTCCTATATAATTGATTCACCACAACCATCTAATCTAAGTTATTTATGAAATTTTGGTTCTTTATTAGCCTTTTGTTTAGCTATACAAATAGTTACAGGTGTAACATTAGCTATGCATTACAACCCTAGTATATTAGAAGCGTTCAATTCTATAGAACATATTATGCGTGATGTAAATCACGGATGATTAATACGTTACTTACATAGTAATACAGCATCTGCTTTCTTTTTCCTTGTGTATCTACACATAGGTAAAGGTTTATATTATGGATCATACAGAGCACCTAGAACATTAGTATGAACTATAGGTACATTTATATTTATATTAATGATCGTTACAGCCTTCCTGGGTTTTTTACATAGCCCAAAATGGTCTAAATTAAACAACAACAACAACAACAATTCAAGTGAAAAAAAGAATTTGTCACATCCAAATAGAACCCATAATACTCTCTTTTCTAATAAGGGGAGTGTAAGATGCTTTTCTACTTCTACTAAATATTTAAACTTAGAGCCTAAAGAACCTAATAACAGTACGGAGTACTCTAAAGATGTTATTGAGTTTTTGAAAAAAAATAATCTTGAACCTGTTTATGTTTATGAAAAATTAAGTGATAAAACTGTCCAAAGTAAAGTATTAAATGATACTCGAAACCTTGCGGGTGTATATTTAATTTTAAATAAATTTAATTTAAGTTGTTATGTTGGTTCTGCTTCAACTGGTAAGTTCAATAGTAGATTCCGTAGACATTTATTTAATTTTCAAGGTAGTAAAATAGTCAAAGCCGCAGTAAAAAAGTATAAAATAGATAACTTTGCTTTTATTATATTAGAAGTATTTACTGAAGAAGTTAATAAAGAGAATAATAAACAATTATTAGATATGGAAGACTATTATTTAAAATCTTTGTTACCTGATTATAATATAGTTACTGAGGCTGGTAATACTTTTGGCTACAAGCATTCTGAAATGACTAGAATAAAAATGTCAGAAAATTACAGCCCAGAACGGCGTTTATGAATAGGTAATTTAAACAGAAATAATCCTTTAAGTGAACAACATAAAGATAACTTAAGAAAAGCTGCTTTAACTAGAATTAAACCTACCTATTCAGAAGAGTCTTTAAATAATATGCGTAAAAAATCCAAACCTATAATAGTTTATAATTTAGATAAGACTTTATATGGTGAATATCCTAGTATTACTGTTGGAGCTGAATCACTAAGATGTAGTGTAAAAACTGTTTGAAGAGCTATGAATACCCCAAAAAGTATATTAAGGAGACGTTGAATTGTTAAGTTTTTACCTAAGTAATGTTGTTCACTTACGTTGTTAGTTGTTTAATTATTTTTAATTGAATAGTTGTTGATTCAATTATTCTTTAATTTAGTCCATAGTCCCATGAGTATCAAATTTTATGTAATCTTAAGAGAAAAATAAAATTTAAAGTGGAATAACCCGACAGGGATATTGAAGAAATACGTTTCTTTGGCAATATTAGTGAAAACGATCAAAGAGCATTTAATATAGTTTTATAGTGTAAAGCTAATTATAAAAATAATATATTATTAGACTAGAGATCGTCGGTTATCTTAATAATCGCGACAGACTGGGTCACTAATGGGTGTCTGTAATGATGCTTAATGCACAGTCGGAATATTTAGTTTAAGAAACTAACAGGTTAAACAAATTCAAAGTTAATCTGGCTCTATATAAATAGCTTACAGTTTATATTGAGTATATTAGTATGTTTTACCTTACGGACAAATGTCTTTATGAGGTGCAACAGTTATAACTAATCTTATGAGTGCTATACCTTGAATAGGACAAGATATTGTCGAGTTTATTTGAGGTGGCTTAAGTCAATTATTAATTGAAGAGCCTAACAACAGTAATGTTGTTCAGCAAATTTTGCTTAATGCTGGAATATCCCCAATATTAGTATTAGGATACGTATATGTTAACGTATACGTGAAAAAGCCTAAGTCAAGGGGACAATCAGCCGGGGTTAGAAAGTTTTCAACTTTCAAAGCTTCTCAGAGACTAAATGCAGAAAATCTTATATATGCGTATTTGGTAGGTTTATTCGAAGGTGATGGGTTTTTCACTGTGTCAAAAAAGGGTAAATATTTTCAATGTGAATTGGGTATAGAGTTGAGTATAAAAGATGTGCAATTAATATATAAAATTAAAGATTTGTTGGGTGTGGGTACTGTGGGATTTAGAGTAACAAACGGTAATAGTAAGGTGTACTTTAGGATAAGAAAAAAAGATCACCTAATAAATATTGTATTGCCTATTTTTGACAGATATCCTCTTTTTACCAATAAACAACATGATTATTTAAGGTTAAGAAACATTATTTTATCTAATATTATATTATATGAGGATATACCTCCATATACACGTCCTAGTACACCTTACAACTGTATCGAATCTATACTTAATGCACCTTATTTCTCCGCCTGGTTAGTCGGATTTATCGAAGCTGAAGGTTGTTTCAGTGTATATAAATTAACTAAACCCGTTAACTATTTTGTAGCTAGTTTTGATATATCTCAAACTAATGGTGAAGTAGTTATTTTAGCTATTCGTCAATATTTATCATTAACACCTAATGTATATAAAGACAAAACTAATAACTTTAAATTGAAAGTTACAAGTGTGAGATCTATAGAAAATGTTATTAAATTTTTAAACAAAGCACCTGTAAAACTGTTAGGTAATAAAAATCTCCAGTATTTACTTTGAATTAAACAGCTTCGTGCTATACCTAGATACGCTGATAAAATAAACATACCTGATAAATACTAAATTGAGATTATGATATAGTCCGAACAATGAAGAGATTCATTGAGTGTAACGAGAGTTTTCAGTAAAAGTTTTTTAACTGATTATGGGGTTACCAACACAATTGTTCTGTTAACAATGCAACTTTAAACAGATTTTTTGCTTTACATTTTGTATTACCATTTATATTAGCTGCATTAGTTTTAATGCACTTAATAGCCTTACATGATAGTGCAGGGTCAGGTAATCCTTTAGGTGTTTCAGGAAATTACGATAGATTACCTTTTGCTCCATACTTCTTATTCAAAGATTTAATTACTATATTTTTATTTATCTTTGTTTTAAGTTTATTCGTATTCTTTATGCCTAACGTGTTAGGTGATAGTGAAAATTACGTTGTAGCTAATCCTATGCAAACTCCACCTGCCATAGTTCCTGAATGATATTTATTACCTTTCTATGCTATATTAAGATCTATACCTAACAAATTATTGGGTGTTATAGCTATGCTTAGTGCTATATTAGTTATATTAGCTATGCCATATACTGATCTAAGTAGATCTAGAGGTATACAATTTAGACCTTTAAGTAAAATAGCTTTTTATATCTTTGTGGCTAATTTTTTAATATTAATGGTGTTAGGTGCTAAACACGTTGAGTCACCATTTATAGAATTTGGACAAATTAGTACAGTTATATACTTTTCTCATTTCTTAATAATAGTACCTGTAGTAAGCTTAATAGAGAATAGTTTAATTGATTTACAGTTAAACTCCCCAAAGTTCTAAGTAGCCCTGAGCGTATGTCATCTAAAACCTCTATCTATAATATGTTTGTACCATTAGTTTTTTTTATTTCATCTGATGATTTTGTACTCTCTGCTGATCAGGCAGGTGAAGAGGGAACAGACAAAGGTGAAATAACTGAAGATGGTACAGGTAATAACACAGAGGATGGTGGATCAAATGATGATGAATCAAATGATGATGATGATTCATCATCAGAAACATCAAGTAATAATGTAGATATCGCTGGAGGTTTATTAGCGGAAATTGAAAAAGTTTATGATACTTCTGTACCTGCTTCTTATAACTCAGATGATATTGTTGAACTTCGTAACGCAATTGATAAGTTAATTAAAGAGCAATCAGATATAGATGTCCATACGGATGATGAACGTAAAGCATGATTAGAAGCATTCGTCGATGATAAGAATTCAAGTAGAAAATAGTGGTATGTTTAATATAAAATACTTTTATATTTTTAAATATAACTAAAAACTATTGTTACCGTAATCAAAGTTGTATTGTTCTTTTAAAAATTAGCGTTAACAACATTGTTATTTTTTCTGGTATACTTGTAGGAACTACTGTAGCAACTGCTACAATAATATTGTGCTGATATTATGTAAAATATCCTTTTATTAAATGCATAAAATATTTTACTAGGTTGCAGTAATGTAGGTCTTTCTATGTGTTGAGGTTTTTATTATTTTGTTATACATTTATATCCTTAATTGTATAAGTAATTTCCAATATTAGTGACTCTTGTTTTTTCTTTCAAAATCTTAGGATTATTTTGTAATGTTATATGTAAAAAAGGGTTTTCTTTTACCTTCGGTAGCTTAATACTATATTGAAGCTCTAATAAATAAGCTTGGGGGGGTTTATTTCCCACCGGTTGTTTTATTATAATAATATTTGTAAATAAGATATAGGTTCAAATTTTATAAGGGAAAATATAATTATAAATCCTTATACCCTTATATAATATTACTTGTCTAAATATTTCTAAATCGTAAAATTAATAAAACCTAAAGCACTAAAAATTCTAAACCCTAAATAGTTAATCTTTTAGGTCTGTTAAGATCGTTGAAAACGATCTTAAGAAGTCTATTTTAAATATAGAGCCTACCTAATGCTAGTAATATATTTTATTACTATATAAGCAAAGCGTAAAGGAGTCATCGCTTGTCTGCTGCCCATCTCCATGCCAACAATGTTTCATATAATGATTACATATCAGGACAGCAACCTGAGAAGACACATTGGTCAAATATATCTGTCTTAAGTTCAAGTATATCTTTATGAACAGAGCGTTGATTTTTGTCTTCTAATGCTAAAGATATAGGTACACTATACTTAATATTTGCTTTATTCTCTGGATTAGTTGGTACTGCTTTTTCTGTTCTTATAAGATTAGAATTAAGTGGACCAGGTGTTCAATATATTGCAGATAATCAACTATATAATAGTATCATTACAGCTCACGCTATTTTAATGATATTTTTCATGGTCATGCCTGCTTTAATCGGGGGTTTCGGTAATTTCTTATTACCATTACTAGTAGGGGGTCCAGATATGGCAAAAAAAAAGGACTACCCTGGGGATATAATAAACAATAAAAAACATTATAGTACAAATGTAAAAAAAAATAAATATAATTCGTATCTAGCCGGCTTATTTGAAGGTGATGGGCATATTTTAGTACAAAAACCTGATGCAGGACATAAAAAGAAACATAATCCTAGGTTTTGTATAACTTTTAGTTTAAAAAATGAACCATTAGCAAAAAAACTCTTAGAGAATATAGAATCTGGGTTTATTAGATATAAACCTAAAGATAATGCTTGTGTATTAATTGTTTCACCTGTAGTAGGTTTAAAAAAGATAGTTTATTTAATAAATGGCGAACTGAGAACACCTAAGATACATCAATTGTATAAATTGATTGATTGATTAAATAAACATCATAGTACAAATATATATAAGTTACCCTTAAAAGAGGGTCCTTTGGCGGATGATAGTTGATTAAGTGGATTTATTGATTCAGATGGAAGTTTTTCTGTACAACATACTAAAGTAGAGAATAATGCAAAAAAAAGAAAAATATCTTGTAGATTAAGAATTGAGCAGATAATATTAGAACCTGTAACTGGTAACAGCTATTTAGAGGTTTTAACAAATATAGCTAAATTTCTTAATTGTAATTTATTAACTAGAATGCAAAAATCCACAGGTAATGAATATTATAATATTACAGCATCAAGTAAAAATTCTACTGAAATTTTAGTAAAATATTTAGATAGGTATCCTTTATTCTCAAGTAAATATTTAGATTATAAAGATTGACGAGGAATTGTGTTATTAATGCTTGATAATAAACATTATACCGAAGAGGGTTTAATTAAAACTGATTTTGTTAGAAATAGTATGAATAGAAGTAGAACTTATTTCAACTGAGATCATTTAAATAAATTATCAGCTTAAATTTGTTGTTACTTTTTTTTTTATTATATACCCCTAAACCGGGGAATGCCGTTTTAAAGTGTAAACTTTCTAATTATTACTTCACTATATGCATAGAATCTCTCGAAAATGGAATTAATTTTCCTATTAACAGATACATGGACACCTAATTGGAGTTTATAAACTCATAAAGTTGTACAAATAACTGAATTAGTCGTAACACTCATGTATACATGGGAAGAATGTGCAGGAAACCAAAATAATATTAATTATGAGTAGGATCCTCAGAGACTATACGTGAAGCCCCTTATTATGTTTAATAAGGGTGAAGACATAGTCCGTGGTGGTAGGAAACTACTATTGTAAATGATTCCCTCGACTTAATAATATAAGTTTCTGATTATTACCACCTAGTTTATTATTATTTATATTTGCTAGTGGTATAGAAAATGGAGTAGGTACTGGTTGAACTCTTAAAAAAGATAGGGAGTTATTTTATGGTGACATAAAAAAAAGTAAATTCTTCTCGATGCGTGAACCTCTTCAAGTAAATATTATATTTTTTTATGTTTTACACGTAGTACACTACTCATGTCTATTTATAATGAATACAATTATAAACAGTACGTATGTAAAAATGTGTACATCACGGAGACAATGCGCCTGGTTAGTAAATAAACGTTTGTTTACTAGCCATCAGAGACTTAACGAAGAACATCTTAATGGTAAATTTTCAGATCGAGCTTTGTTTGAACAATGATTAGTAGGGTTTACAGATGGAGATGGGAATTTTCATATTTCACAGCAAGGAACTGGTACATCAACTAAATGAGGCCTAAGTTATAAATTAACTCAATCAGGGTATAATTTAAGAATTCTTAATTATATAAAAAAAGAGTTAAAAGTAGGTTCTATAACAAGAGATGGTACCAAAGCACAATACTTTATTAGGGATAGAAAAGTTTTAGAATCCATTTTATTGCCTATTTTTGACAAATATCCTCTTCTGACGACTAAATATTTAGACTATGTAAAATTAAAAGAAGCACTAGCTATCTTAAATAACATATCTATAACTAAAGAAGAGAAAAATACAAAACTTTTAGCTATTAAAAATGCTAAACCTGATAAAGATTATTTATCTCCTGCTTGAACTAATGCAAAATTACCTTTGACGAACGTAGATTCAATGAATAACGTGATGACTAAAAGTTGACTCGTGGGGTTTATAGAAGCAGAAGGTAGTTTTTATCTAGTTAATAAAACTTCCACTAGAATAGTACATGGATTTGGTTTAACACAAAAGTTGGATAAAATAGTATTAGAAGGTATAGGTATTATGTTACATATCAAAACCGCGGTTAGATATAAAGAATTACATAACTATTATATATTAGATACTACTAACTCCAGAGCAATTGAGAATATAATAGATTTTTTTAAAAATACAATGAAAGGTGTAAAATCTTTAGAATATAGAATATGAGCTAGATCATATAATAAAGATAAAGGTAATTTTATTAAGTTGTCTAAAATAAGAAACATTATAAGAAAGTTGCGAAAAAGCAGTCATAATTACTAAGCTCTAATTCCATTAAGATGAAGGTATAGTCCGAACATTATAGAGATATAATGCGTATAACGATAGTTTTAGTATAGGTTAATATCTTTATTAATTTAAAGCATAAGAACTCTAAAATGAGGTTATCAACAAAATTGTTACCCTCCATTAAGTGGAGTACAAAGTCATAGTGGACCTAGTGTCGATTTAGCTATATTTGGATTACATCTATCTGGTGTAAGTAGTTTATTAGGAGCTGTAAACTTCATTACTACTATACTAAATATGAGAAGTCCAGGTATCAGGTTACATAAATTAGCTTTATTTGGATGAGCTGTTGTTGTTACAGCAGTATTATTATTATTATCTTTACCTGTTTTAGCCGGTAAACTAATCCTGCCGGCTCTAAATTTGGCTGTATTCTGGGAACCGTTATATACATATATATCGCAATCAGCTGGTAATCTATTAAGTTTGAATTTTTTAGAGAACCTCAGAGGCCACACGCCAAAATATTTTGGTTGTAGTCCATATTTTTCCTGCTATGGGTACCTAGCACCCTTTTCTTTATTTACAACTCTTAGATCTATTCATACCAACAACTATAGCAAAAATTTAAATAAAAATCTATTTAGTTATTATCTCACCGGGCTTATTGAAGGTAATGGTACAATAATTACACCAAAAGAATTAAGAAATAGTAAAGGTAAGTTAAATTACCCTGCTATACAAATAGTTTTTCATTTAAAAGATTTACCTTTAGCTTTGCTTATTCAAAAAGAATTAGGCCTAGGTTCATTATCTAGAAAAAAAGGGGTAGACGCTTATATATTAACTATAAATAGTTCTAAAGGTATATTGTTAGTAATTTCATTAATAAATGGAAAAATGAGAACACCTAAATTATATAGTCTTAATGCCTTAATAGATTTTTTTAATGAAACTAAACAAACAAATATTGAAAAATATTCTGTATCTATAGAACCTTTAAATACCAATCCGTGGCTATCTGGGTTTATAGAAGCAGACGGTTCTTTCCAAGTAAGAACTACTCTTTCAGGAAAATATCCTAAACTTGAATGTAAATTAGAAATATCTCAAAGACGACAAGATCACAAAGGATGTAATAATCTAAATTATTTAACTTATATCGCGGAGTTTTTAGAAACGGAAGTAAAAGAAATAAGATCGGATAAACCAAAACCTCAGTATAGAGTTAGAACTACGAACCTTAAAGGGAATATTAAGGCTAAAAGTTATCTTTTACAATTTCCTCTATTTGGAACTAAACATTTAGATTCCTTGGATTGAATGGAAGTGGTTAACATATTTGATAGAAAAGAGCATAAGACAGATAAAGGTAAGGAAAAAATTGTAAAG